ATATACGTCTGGTGACCATGAAAGTGACTATTTGCATAGAATGATTTTAGTACTTTGCACTCTTACTTCCCAGTTGTTAAAAGTCATTTGTTCAGTATTATCACAAATATTGTTCCTAGGATGTTGCTTTAACTTACATCAAATGTTGTTTCATCCCAAACTGAATGGGCACATTTTGGAATGAACTAGATTTCTTTCCCAGGTTAAGATGGTGTTACCTGTCTATATACTATTTTCCAAGGCTAGAATAGCATAATTGTGGATATGGTTATTACAAAAGAGAAGGTGCAATACAAGACTGAATTATCTGGTAGGGCTGAAATTAAGCCAACTGTCCGTAAGTCAGCTGCAAGAGGATTTCAAGGGGATTACCACCTGAAAGCAAAGTGCAGGGAAGCTTCTAGAAAATTGACTAAATGCCCAACGCCATGTGGTCATCTGTTGGAGGTCCTGGTCCAGAGACCCAGGCAATAATTTAAAATAGGATGTGCCTGTGATGGCACATTCTTTAACTTTTTGTCCCCCTTTCCACATGAGGAAAATTTCTTCCCACCAACCATCCCTTGAGGGAAGGCCATCACTACTGCACTCACTCTCGATTCTGTTTAAAGGACAAATGCAGGAAAGACTATGAGCCATTTACAGAGTTAAAAGAGCACCTTCTTTCTCTTGAATAGCAGGAACCTATGGTCTGATAGACCTTCTGTAATAAATATAGTAAATATATCTACGTAGTTAATATTTTTAAAATAACAAATACTACTGATATCATTGTTCTATTGTAACAATTAAGGAATGTTCCATAGGAATACTCCTTGTTTTGATGGGAAGACAGCAGAACTTCAGCTTACTTTCTGCACTGTCCTTGTGGTGAAGGTTGATCCAAAGCACTGGTTAGTTTTACATACCACTGCTGAATCCTCTTGAGATAGAGCTGTGATATTTGCTGCTGTCAAATCTTTACAAAAGATCTGTCAAACATTTAATGACAAGTTCCTTGCAAGCCAAGTTCAAAAATGAAAGAGGAATAAGCCATAAATACAGCAGTTGTGTCATGTCTACTAATCTTTAACTACTTTAGGAATAAGGCCTCTAGCTTGTAGGTTGCCCTCAAATCTTCATTTATTGTTCTTTAAAATGCCAAAATGCATGGGGGTGGGGTGCATCCTGATAACTTAAACCAAGGAAAAACTAAAGTTCTGTTTGGGAAAGCACACTAAACACATTTTCATGTGCCGTGGTAGAAAGCTTGCTGAAACATTAGAAACCTTGCCTTAAGATAACATCTTCTAATGATTTTTAATGCTTCTGCACCTTCTGACATCATAATGTCACTGATCTCCCACAAAATGAGAAATGCACCAGAAGGTATACCAGCAGAAAAATCAACATTGTACTGATTGCAACATTGTACTGATAGTAAAAACAGAGAATAGTTTTGATTATGATGATGTTAATGATTATTATTAATAATTACATAATTATTGATGATGATGATGATGATGATGATGATCAGAACTTTGAAGTGAAAAAACATGAACCACAGTTTGTCAAGGGTAATTCTGGTATTAACTTCCTATAGAAATGACATCGTGCAGTGAAGCTTACAAAGTACGTTTATTCCATTGTAAAACAATTAATTAAAAAGGAAAAAGACAAATCAATTGTATCTGAACGTGCTGGGAAGCACTTAGAAGAAGAGGCCGGGGGGTGCACTAGAAGCATCCTTTTATGCTACACAGCAATTATCTGCCTCAAGGTATTTTCCCTTAATAAAAAGAATGGGAATAAGGGGAAAGTGCAGTTAAATTAAAATACACCCACCTAAGGCACCAATGATGACATGTTTCATGAATGCTAACTGGGTTCCATGGGGTCTGAGTAATTCCTTGCTGGAAGGCTGAGTAAGGTGGGTCAGTACTTCTGGAATGGCAGGGACACACTTAGAAGTGAAAATCAGTAAGAATCACAGGCAAATGAAACATACAGGAATCTATGAATTGCAGGTTCTTTGACAAGCTGATTTTTCCCATAGCATCACATCAGTACTTAGGATAGGGCAGACCAACTATGGTCTGCTTTGGGAATCTGAGATCACAAACATGGCATTACATGAGCCTTTCAGTTTTGGACCTTTTTTCCTCCCTTCCCTTCCCTTCCCTTTCCGGGGGAGTGGGGGGGGGGCAGTGGCTTGGCTCATTAAGAATTTTTTAAGTTTCTTCAGATCTTTAAGATTTTTTAAATGTATCTCACAAGTATGTTTAAATCTTACTGAACTGAGATGGCTTTTAAAATGTGTGGAGCTGATTTATACTTGTGCCAACATAATTTGTAATCTGTTCCATCAGTCACTCATGTATGATAACTTACAGACGAATGTATTCACAGCTGCTTCCACTAAAACATATGATGCCCAGTTATTAAGTTCACATTATGGGTCTGTCCCCACAAGCTAATGCTTCATAACTGTTTCACATGTGCTAGATATCACTTGATGTCGCACTTATCAGGTTAAGCACTTTTGTTCTGGGTCTGAAAGATATGTAAGCAACCCAGCTCATAACCTTTTATTGCAAACTGCTAAACCAGCACCTGGCCAAAGGCCATAAGACAATATTAAAACACTATGAAATACAAAGAATTACTCAGAAGTTAATTCTCGAGAAGAGCCCAGAAATAAACCGGTATGATTCAAACTTATTTTACCATTGAGGAAGGGTTTAATAGTGTCATGGATTACAGATTATATATTCCTATAGCAAATGTTTCTTAGAAGGACTAGAATCCTAAATTAATATTTGTTTGATGTGTATGTCCAGATTGAAGTATTTAACTAAAAGGAAATTGGTACATAAATGCATATAAATTTATTGACTAACTAGTACATAAATTAGTCAAATGAATGTTTAAGATGCTCACATCGTTTATCAAGTGCTATAAACCAAAAAGAGGATTCAACCTATTAAAAAACAAAAAATGTTCTAGCTAAAGGAAGAGTTATACATTTCACATAAAATCCTCCAATGGCCTCAGTTCTGCTTTCCAACACAATAATAAGCTGGTCTATATATATATATATATATATATATAGAGAGAGAGAGAGAGAGAGAGAGAGAGAGAGAGCGCGAGCGTGCGAGCGAGCGAGCATTATCTGACACATTCAATGTCCATGAAGCTATGTGTATTTGCCATCATATACCATTTACACCATCATCCAGTACCAAACATCTTTCTCAGAAGCTGAAATTTAAGCCAATAAGAGAACACAAGTTGCAAGTTAAAATAAAATGTTAAGCAGTATTTCCCCACACTAATCCATAGTATTGCGGTTGGTTTGAAACTTGAGACTTGGAGTGAAAGCTAAGCTTTATATAGAAACTTGCCCTGATCATTCATTTCATTGCCTCGCTGAAGACTTCTTTGTGAGAAATCCAGACCTGGTGGTTCACCCATGCCAATTATTTTGTGCTAGAGCAGGGGTGGACAAAATGTATCGCCATTCTCTGCTCCCTCGATGTGGCCCCTCCCACCCTACTGAAATCAGGGTGACCCAAATTAGGCACACACAAACACTCATATTGCAAAAGGAAAATGGTTTCTGGAGCTGCTATGGAGCACTAAAAGGGTCAAATATCATTTGCTTACAACATAAATTTGACCCTTTTAATGCTTTATAGCTCCTATGAAGCATTATCTGCAAATTTAGTTTGCAGATAAGTTAAATTTGACCCTTTGGGTGCTCTGTAATAGCTATGGATGAAGCTATCTTTCCTAACCTTTAAAAAAAATCCTTTTTGAGGAAATGCCCCACAAATGTAGCCAATGGATAGGGGCTAGAAGGTCTCCTAGACCTCCTGATTTTGTCCATTCCAGCCCTAGATGGATGTATGGTAATGAGGAGCTAGGGGTTCAAAGTGCAACCTGAGTAACTAGCTCTAAGTAGCAGGACAAGTCAACAGAGCTCCTTGCTATGAGCCCCATAGACTAGCCACACGCTAGAAGTGCTACTCTAGGTTGGTTTGCAGTTTTACTACCAAATACTAGCTTCCCACTGAGCTAGCAGTTGCCCTGCTATCTACATTGGATATTGCCCATGGACTTAAATGATTCTGGCCTGCAAAGAACAAACAGCAGACTTGTATCAAGCTCAAGGTGGGTGAAATCATATATCCACCAAGATAAATGGGACTTATTTCCATGCAGCAAAAGAACAGGTTCTGCAATGTACACTAAGACTGTAGGATTACTATTTACATTACTGTGCGTGTGAACTAATGCAGCAGAAATCCTTGGGAAGGAGGCCACATTCTGCCACCCTAACCCAACACTCCATTGCAGCCATGGGTGGGGCTCACCCACCTGCAATGACACCCTCTCTCTCTTGAGAGAGCAGATCCATGTGTCCATTCCTCTGAAGTTCGAGTAACACCCTATACACACAGGCGTTCCACATGCTCAGCCATGGGTCACCCACAGCTTGGGGTCAAGGCCTCTTCTTCTCCTACTGAGATTTTTCGACCATGCTATCCATATCACAAACCAGGAAACTAGATTCCTATCCTAAACTAAGTCCTGGAAATACATCCCTGCTTATATACATGGAAAGTTATTCAGCTTTTTTAAAAATGTTACAGATTCTCAGTTTAAAATCACAAAAATATTATTTAATTCTTCTAAACAAACTGCTTTGAACCTAGCCAACTTTGTTGTGAGTATACACAGGAACTAGTCCAATATCCAACATTTGTAATGACAGTATTTATAAAATTAAAACCTATGTTTTCCTTTAAATTCATATTGGACTAAGACCAGACTTTAGGATTATAATTTAATCTTCTTCTTAATAAGCATTCATTTAATTATCTAAGTACTGGATATCACATTATCATGTTAGGGCTTAATGGGTGGAGCTCCATCATACGGTCACATAAATTAACAAGCACAGAAACAAGGCTTTGCATTCCAAAATATAAAATCCTTCATTTCCTGCTAACCTATGTCTATGCTACTGCTGCATATTCACTGGATTGTTCATTTTTTTCACTTTCTTGTGGACTGGTGACCGTGACTCTTGGAGTTGATGTCTTTTCATAATTGGGATCAGCCTAGAAGTGGAAAACATATTTTAACTTATCATTTGATAAGAGATTTTCCTTTTATATGCGTTCACGGGATAATACAGGCCTGCACAACTTGAGACCTGTCAAGCCAAATGCAGGTCAACAGCCATGTCAGATGCTTGGCAAGCTGCCTGATTTGCCATTGCAGACAGGAAACAAACGCAAGTTTATCAAACCCCGGATAGGGCGCCACTTATGGCTGGTGAAGGGTGCTGGGCTGGAGAGATCACAAGGTCTGCAGTCCAGTAATAAAGCATATGATTCGCAGCATGCTTGCATAATCAACAACATAAATTTTCCAGCTACTTATGAATAATAAAGTTTTTAAAACATTAAAGCAAATATGTTCCCAATCTTTGTCAGATTTCAAAAATAAAGGGATTCTCTCTTAAGGTGCTGGGATATAAAATTAGCAGCGTGTTTTGCATAACCAACCTTCTACTCCCATGCTCACTCTCATTTTATCTAAAAGCAGGCTCATGTCAGCTCCTTCTGCTGTATGTGGAAGACTGGGAAGTGCTGTGATAATGGCTGTCAACTAAGCACTTTCAGTCTTGAGACGGTTTGTTTGTTTGTTGCATTTATATACCACCCCAATAGCCCAGCGGGCTCTCTGGGTGGTTTGCAAATATTAAAACCCCACCAATCCTAAAATAAATAAATTGGCTATTTATAAATAGGCTACACCACAACTGAGTATAAAATAACATGGTTAAAATGAATTAAATACATAAATATACCATTACAATTAATTAACTTTAAAATATTGGTTGAATAAAAAGGTCTTGACCTGGTGCCGAAAAGCATATAATGACAGCACCAGACGGACCGCTCTAGGGAGCACATTCCATAGTCGGGGCGCCACCGCAGAGAAAGCTCTCCTCCGGCTACTCTGTCTCCTAACTTCTTTCAAAAGGGTTCCCAGGGGAGGGCCTCTGCTGCCGATCTTAGAGGGCGGGAAGGCATATAGGGAAAAAGGCGTTCCTTTAGGTATCCTGGTCCCAAGCCGTTCAGGGCTTTATAGGTAATAACCAGCACCTTGAATTGAGCCTGGACTTCAATGTGAAGCCAATGGAGTTGATAGAGGATTGGAGTTATGTGAGAATAATGACCAGTCCCTGACAGTATCCTGGCAGCTCTGTTTTGAACCATCTGAAGTATCTGGACCGTCTTCAAGGACAGCCATTTCAAAAGCACGTTACAGTAGTCCAAACGAGAGGTAACCAGTGCATGTGTCACTGTTGTCAGGCAGTTCTCATATCATATCTTATAATCTCACAAAGTCCATGACCTATGGGGAAGTATCATTGGGATCATTTATCATTTGGAAACAGTTGTTACAAAGCTGAAACTCCAGAGATGGAAAACATAGCTGTAGATACCTACTGCTAGAGCAGATAAATGGAATGATTAGCACAGCAAAAGAGCAAAGACATGTTACCTGAGTCTGATCAATACCTTCTTTTGTTTCTTCTTCATGACTTTTGTGATCCATTTCTTCACTATTTTCTTCATTTGCTTCACCCTGTGCATGACTACTAAGCTCATCTTCTGCCACTTGGTCAAGGTTCTGCCCTTGGTGTTCATCTTCATCATGACCACTCAGTTTCTCCTCTCCCATTTCTCCACCCTGATCAGCCTCCCCATTCATTGCCGAATATTCTCCTTGACGCTGATCATTATGTTCTGACACTATGTTTTCTTCCTCATCCACAATTTCTGCTGGCAGCTGATAAAACCAAAATTAAAATTGTATTAGCCTCTGCTCCTTTGATTAAAATATTGCAGGTAGAACCATTATGATGAGCTAAATAAAAGGTGGAAAAGGACATACATATTGCATGAGCTATTATGAATTAAATATAAGCTGCCATGCTAATGTTGTGTCATAGCAAATTCTTCCTCAGTTATACACCACTTCATGGTCATAGGATTAATTGCTGAAAATTGGGTTTGCATATGGGCATATATAGATATAAATGGATCCATTCCTCACAAAGATGACAGCAAGATGAACACTAGATCAAGCACCAGTCCTTTGTCAGACTGAAGAGCAATCTACAGGTTTCACTTACTAACTAAATGGCCATTATGTGGAACTGCTTATGCATAAATATGAAGACAAGGAGCTCTACACTTCACAGTCACCTTGTAAACAAGTCTCCACACCTTAATCTAATTTTGGAAGCTAAGCAGAGTTGGGCCTGGTTGAAATTTGGATGGGTGACTTAAAATATTGTTTAAGGCAGCTTTGGCTATGGGTGGTATAGAAATGTAATGTAATAATAATAATCCATTTATTGTAACCCTCCCAGAAAGCCATTTTGGCTAATCAGCAGGATAGATATCTAATAAATAAACTACCTCACAGGGTTGTTGCATAGATAAAGTGGAGACGAGGGCTGTGTAACCCACCTTGGGTTCCTTGAAAGAAGAAAATGGGTATGATGCACTGGTTTAAAAAAACGTGTACTATGAAATAGCTGGTGTGCTTTGCAACTTGAGAGAGAGAGAGAGAGAGAGAGAGAGAGAGAGAGAGAGAGAGAGAGAGAAGAGGTGGGGTCACTGTGACAAAAGAAGGAAAGAAGGACATAGCCAAGAGGAAGACATTTCTCTCTGTCTCTCTCTCATGCCATCTCCTGCTTTCATCTCCATGAACATTCCTGCTATTTTCTCAGAGAACAAACTCTCTCCCACCCCAACCCCAGCAACTCCTCCAGCTTCTTCCATTCTTCTGTGTGAACCAGCAACACCTGTCCTGAGTCCACTGTGGTATGAGAGACCTAACGTTCTGGGTGAACGTGATTCTCCTCTTTCTCATGAAACCATTGAAAGGACTTGTTTTGGTTCTACAAATTAATTCAGCAAGATATTCAACACCCCTGAGCTCAAGGTACTTTTAAACCCCTACAATGACACTGGGCCCAAAGCACCAAAGCTATTGTTGGTTGATTGTATGTTTTAGCATGAACACATCCATCCCCCATCTTGGTTTGTTGGATCAACTGGGGAATCATTTGAGTACCTCCCAGTCCACTACACATTATTATAGAAGGCAATTAAGATAAAGACATTGGTAGGTGGTGCTAAAAACAAGAAGCACCTAAAGAGGCATTTTTTTAAAAACCCTGCACACACAAAAATAAAAAATAAAAAATGGAAAACCACTGTCAGTGGCCATGGAAAGAAGCATGCCACCTGGGAGCTCCTGAAGAACTGGACTGGGACTCCAGGCAGTCTAGGTTTGACACCTGGGTCTGAGTTCAGACATGCCTAACTCAAACCATATTGCCATGGGATTTCACCAATGTTACTCTGAAACTTCCATCCTTCCTTCTGTCTGTCTGTCTTTTCCATTCATCCTTCAATTTTGGTCCATTTTCATGAACTCTGTTGTAATTTTCTTAGAAACAATGACACAATCACCTATTTTTTGATATAATCTTGTAACCTATGATGGTATCATATGCAAGGGTGAGGAACCAACAATCTATATAAGCCAAGGGCTTGGATCCAAAGAAACATGCATACCTATTAGTAACAAAGATTAGATGGCACTTCTGTGTATAATATGCCTTCATAATGGCAAATCTGAGGCTGTTCTATGAACACCATGTTAAGTTCCTCCAGGGAAAATGGCAAGACATTAATGTAATCTATACATGTACAGAACACCAGACACTGAACACCAGGTACTGGCAACAAACAACATGTAGTCTACACCAATGGCTGGTCACTCTTCAGAAAACTGGATTAGAAAGAGCAGCCAATGGCCCATTCCAATAGGGTGCTTCATACCTTTTAAATAGCCATGTGGACAGCTGCTTTTGAAATTAAAGGGAGTTTCAAAAGCAACTTCTAATAATGACATAGATTCCTGGTCTAAAAACACATAAGTGGGGGGGGGGGACTCACTGTACCATGCAAACCTTTGGATATGCCTTAAATAGTTCTTCATACAGTGACCAAGACCGTTCCAATTTACTACTATCAGACAACTCAATTCAGCTTCACCTTGCAACAAACATGAGACTTAGTTGAGTTTATTCAGAACTTCCAAAATATATGGCAGTTCAACCAGAGAGCTAGCTTGTCCTTTGATGATGTTCTATCTAGACTCAATTATCAGCAGCCCTTGTTTTCAGGCAGCTAAAACTAGCAGAGATTATCCATTAATTACAGGCTGCAGGTAAAATTAGCTGGTCTGAAAGTAACTCAAGTGCAAAAGAAGTATTGTTTTAATAAAATGCAGTACTAAAAGGTATCTGTTTAGAAATAACTAATGAATGTAAAGTACATATTCACCCATTCCATTAGATTTAGCAGGAATTTTTCTAAATATTACATGCCATGGTACAAAACAGGCAAAAGAGGAATAACAACAAAATTCTAATAGCACAATATGAATAAAATGTCAGGGAACCTTTGATTGCAGAAGCAACCAAGTACCTCTTAAATACAACATATATCCAAAATGCTTTCCAAAAGTACAAGAAACATTATGTTCCCAAACCAGTTAGTGTTGCTAAGTGACAATGAAACCCCTGCCTACCACATTGTTTATGAAATCTAACATTTAGAAAGGGAGGAAAAGGTTGAATTTAGTAAATATTGTTGTTTTCTAGTCATTTCTAATACTATATATATGAAAATAGAGGTGGATGCTGCTCCAGGATTGAATTGCAGAAGCCACATAATTCCTTTTAAAAGGATTTTAATTTCAGTGTCCCAACAACTACATAACCATTAACATTCTAGTCAGATTTCAGAGACTTCTATTTGCATTATGGTCTCATTTAGCTATGGTTTATAACAAGCCATTAACAATACATTTGTGTCGCTAACATCACCAGATTTAGCAGGTAAAAGTGCAAAGCTCTGCACCGTGCCATCAAGAAGAACTGGCCCACCAGTAGCTGGGCCAGTTCTTTGTTCTACATCTTTGTACCTCTTCTCCAGAGTAGGAGCCGGGACTGGCGCTGCTCTGTAACTGTCCAGCTGAGACCAGAATCAGTGGGGAATCCTCACTCCCGCTGAATCCTAGTTAGCAACCATCTTTCTTTTCTTTTATGTAGTGTTATAAGCAGCTATAAAATGGGGACATGTATTACCTCATTTATGTTACTGAAAACAAGTAACTGATGGATTTTTACAATTTAGTCACTATGGACAACCTCCTAGAAATCCATTGGAAAGTAGCTTATGACTTTTAACAGCAAACCCTTTTGTTTACGGAGCCTCCTGAGAATGAACTTTTTTTTCTATTTGCCAAATTCCATTACAATTCTGATTTATAGATCTGCCAAACATCAGCTGAAACGTAGGAAATGCGCCACTGAAGCTTCAGAAGCTGAAGTATTGAATGTCTTCAGCACTGGTACAAGGATCCAGATAAAGAGGTCACTTACATAAATGCCCAACACATAAGACATTTAAATCATGGAGTTTCTTAGGATTGCCTGTTTTGAACCTGAATAAATGCAGACATTACTAGTTTTGTCTTCAGGAAGCTCTAGGATAAAAAAGGAAGAAGATGCTGGCCACTCTGGCTTCAGTTTCTGAGTCCCACTTCCTTCTCTGCTTCAGTTGCTGCCATCACACCAAAATGTTGCCATTGCTGCCGATGCTGGTGCTGCCATTGTTTCCACCATGTGCATACACCCAAATACCCATGCAGAGAGAGTTCTGGCCAATTAAAAAAAACATAACTTGAAAAGCTGCCATGGAGTACATGGGATCCAAACCTATCAAGGACTCCAAGACCGCCATGTTGTTCTGCCCATCCAATTGGCCTTTCATAAAAGATCAATAAAAAGAACAGCATAAGCTCATGCTTCAGTGTTTTGAGTGCCTCTGGGACCTGGTGCTCTAACAGCATCAATGCTCTAAACAATTGACCGTGGGATTTAACTATAATTTTCATCATGATATTGCTCAAGCTTGTAATCTGGCCATAGAATTACTTAATTCCCCATCTGGAGTATAACAGGATTTCTCTTAATGTTTGTATTCAATTGATTTCATGTGCATACTGCAACATCTTTTAACATTTGATTTTTTTTAAAAAGAGAAAATAGTTTCTTTGAAAATCGAGCACAGGAATATCTGGACCCAAAACAATCAGAATGCAAATAGCAGTTTTGCCTCTAGATACATAATGCTTGATTGCACCTTTTTTGGTAATTCATCATATTCCTAGTCATATGGCCAGTATGAAATTTAAAGTACTCAGTACTAAAACTTGCCTTTGACAGATGTTGTGTTATTGCAATAGTCAAAGGAGACTCATTTGAAAAGTAGAAAAATTCTAGTTAGTGGAGAATAGAATTTAGGAATTCAAAGTGCCTGGAGTGGAATTTTTTTTAATAAGGGGAAGACTATTTCAATTGCAATGGAAAGTGGATGAAAAAAAGGAATTGACACTCCAAGCCACGTGAGAAAAAGGATACAACCTTTACTACAGACTTTTGACTTCTGCAAGAGCTTGGCATAAGGGAGCAGAGATGTTAATAATCAGTGTCCGTTTCTGGGAGAAAGAAATGCACAGGAAGAGGCCTGATGGGACTTGATATTGTTTCACAGTTGGTGGATTGCACCACACAGATTCAAATGGAGTCTGCTTCCAAACTCACTTACAATTTTTATTTAAAGAAAGACTCCTACACAGAGCTCTCCCAGGCTGCAGCCACTCTCTGCTCAGGCCAGAACCTGTGAGTAGGGCCCTTAACTACTTCCCTTTTCCTCGCAGGAAGCACAACCCATTCAGGCACTTTTATAATACTGCTACAGCCATTAGGTGTTTCTGGAAAGGCATTGATTGATTGATTGATTGATTGATTGATTGATTCTATAAACTGTTGCAATGGGATGCCAAGTACTACATGGGACTCTCTGGGTGAACAAACAGTGAACAATTTAAAACTAAGAAAAACAGATAAAATACAGAAAAGTACAATTTAGTGCAATTTAGACAACTACCTGGGTCACTAACTGAATTAATTTTAAGCAAGTATGGTAGACTTAAAAAACACCAATAAATATACAAAATTTAAATTGTCTCTGACTATATCATATACACATATTTTGTTCTACACTGAAATTTCCTTCTGCACAGTCAAGCACAACAAACCAGGTGCAATAAAGAAGGCTTTATTTAGTTACAGGGCCAGTTCACTTGATGGCAGCATGGCTTGCTATGTCTACAGTGACTTGATAACCACCCTGCACACGTTGGTTGTGTGCCAGCCAGTTTTATATAGTTATGTTCACTGGCACAGCCTGTTGTGTTGCCAAGGCTGGGTGGTTGGGGAGGTTAACAAACCATCATATAACTCTAGAACAGGTCATTTGGCCTACGTCTTGGCAGTGTAGGCAGTAACAGCAACGAGCAGGGTTGGTTGCCACCACCGCTGATGTCCTCCTCAGCAGGAGCCAGGAAAATTTCAGAACATACAACATCCTAGGGCTTGATCTGGTGAATCCAAGGATGTACCCTCTGTTTCAGGCTCTAGACCTGAAACTTGAAATAGTAGCAGTAACCACTCAAAAGGCTCTAAATGTAGTACTAAGACTTACTTGAAATGTAGCATATGGAACTCTTAAGGTAGATCTTCAGCTTATTTACAAGGGGAGGGGAAACAAGGATAAAAAGACATACAAGAACCAAAGCAATCTTTGGAAACAATGCTTTGGGCAAAAAATAACAGAAGTCACTTGTACTTATTCATACAAGATATACTTAGGTATGTGTCTTCATCCAGAATAGTGCCCAAAAGTCACAAACCAAAAGCAACATAGAAGATAAAGCTGAAGACAAAGGGCTGCAGTAGCTCCCTTGATTTTATATTCAATGGTCTTTTGACAAAAATAAGGTGAGGCTGAGTCATGAGGGGGCTGAAGTTCTCAAAGCCCAGCTGAAATCAACCTGTCTGACTGGAAAGGGTTCTATTCCAGGCTTGCATAGTCCAAGATGACACACACAGCGGTTTAACAAGTCAATGCCCGCACAAGTAACTGCATAACGCTCACCAGTATGCAAGTGGCATGTGCAAGGGGGCGTCTTAACCATGGTGCAACCAGGCAAAGTCACAGCTACAGAATGCACAAATGCTTGTTTAATGTAAGTAACCATGGGCAGAGCAGGGAAAGGAATCTAGTGATGTACCAATTTTGTTGACCTTTAACAAAGATGGTCCAAGTAGTAGTATAATTCTTCTATGGAACAACAGTATCCATTCTGTAAACACCTGCTTAAACAGGAAAATCCTCATATTCTGACTTATAAGTTATTTATTTTTTAAAGCCAAAAGGATCCTACTTTCCAAGATTGTAGGTATCAAGTAAAATCTGCTGCTTGATGCTTGGTTCTACCAAGTGAACTGGTGAACAATTGCCCAGTGTTTCCTCTGATAGAACTGATACTGTTGTTTAATGGCAGAATTGACACAACTACTAGGCAAGTTCTGATGAAGATTCATAAAAGAGAATCTTCATCAGAACATCACCAGATAACAATCCTTGTATAGCTAAATACATAGAGAATAATAAGCCTACCAGGATTTGTTTTGGGTAAAAGTATCCCACAGGAATGCTACCAGGGCTTAGTCTGTGTTTCTAAGCAAACACAGTCAAATTCTGCAACAAACACAGCCAGAATCAAGTTACTGCTGTCTGCTGCCTCATCCCTGGTGTGAGATCAAATGTACTATCATCTTATCAGTGTCTCAGAATTTACATAGGTAGCCGATTCTCCTGGCATTCTCAGTGGACAGTGGTGGATTCTTACTTGCACAGTGCTGTATCTTCATTTAAGAGGGAAATATCTTTCAAATGAGCAGTGCTACTTCACTTGGGGCTTCATTCGAGCAAAGGCTTGCAAGCTGCTGTGTCTTATCTGTTTCATAGCCCTGTCAGTTTGGCACCTTTCACAAGCATTAAGTTCATTGCAATCCCATGCAAATTACAAAACCTCCAGTAACCAAGTAGAGATGTCAAAACCTACTCCTATGAAGGACTGATAGACCTACCAAGTACAAGAAATGGATTGATAATTGCATGTATGTTATTACTGGACAGTCAGAATGAGGACCAACTCCTTTAAGCTGCCAAATGATTCTTTTAAAAAATCAACTGGATGGGATCATGCTATGGTGTTGTTCTTTTCCCATGTCACAAAAAATCAAGAAATAATCCCTCTGGATCCTAGATATCACTAACAGTATTTATCTTACCCACACCATCTCTGCTCGGTCATGATAATCTGGTGAAATTAATGAGTCGTCCATCAAACCAATGGTATCTCTGTTTCAGATTATCATCTTTTCTGGAATTCTGCAGCCTCCACATTTCACCCCATGAAGAAAGCAAACTTCAGGAGGTGGATTTTTTTTTCAGCTTCAGCCATTTCATCAATACACATAGATTACCTGGTCAACTGGGACCTCAGTTTGAGTGTCTTCATCTTCCTGGACTTCAACGGCCCCCCGCATCTCAGACCGCTTTGTGCCAGCCTTGTAAATACCCTCTTCTGTAAGGAGAGAGAAGCAGAGACCAATTGTGACACTATGTGGTAAATGAGTGAACTGCATTCGAGGGCAGCCTAAAAATGGCTTTCCAAATCTGATGCTTCACCCTTCAAAGGAATTGGGTCTTCTGGTTTTAAGAAACCTTGCGTCCACTCATTTTTCCTTTTCTTGGGCTATGTAAGTCCATTAGTCTTTTATACAGTATGAGTAAAAAACAGCTTCTCTTGATCTCTTATTGAATGTAACTAGCTCCACTATGAACTTCAATTGCAGATGTTTATGAAAGAAAATATAGCACGCCGGTTCGTTAATAGCTTTGCCATTGTAAAGGCTTACCTACGAGGAAGCTTTTTCTGGTTAGGGAGTGCTGAGATTTGCAGGACGCTTTTTAAACATGCATAAGATTGCACCCTTCACCCCTCAAAAATCAATTTCAGAACTAAGATGAGAGGAAATGATATCACATTAGTTTAAGATAATTATTAAAATACATAAATGGTTTATCACACATGAGAGAGAGAAGTTTTCACACTAAGACAAATAGTAGAAGTACGTTCACAGTGTGGCAGAGAAGAGGAAATTAATTAATTCACTCTGGCAGCTCATCCATGTTTAGAAAGGAGATGGAAAAACAAATGTTTGTAAGCGTGAGCCCTGTAAATTTTGCCTCTGCCACAGACTTTGCCAGCAGGTAAAGACCTTGTTCAGGCAAGGTTTGGGACTGTTCACCTCAGAATGTTTCTGTGCCCATTGTTCATGGTTTTGATTTGCTACTTTTGTCTGGTTGTTCTATCTGGTTTGACATCCCTGATTTATGATATTGTATTGTACTGTATCATGTCGTGTCATATCGTGTCGTATCATCAGTTTGTGCTAGTGCTTTTAGCTATTTTAGAGACTTACAAAGAAAGGCATGATATAAATTTAAATAAGAAATAAAAAAGTAAAGCAATTAAAAGATAGACACCAGATACCAGCAATTCATGCAACTTGCATAAGCTGTTTTCACCTGTTATAAAACTTGTTTGACATGCACTTCTGCCTTTGTAATTAAGGATTCTTGACTCTTAGGATTGGATACATAAAGACAAAGAAAAGCAATTCAGAACACAATCTTGTGCCAGTTCAGAGAAAAGAATGCCTCTCAGCTCCGAACATGCCCTTTTTTTCTTTCTAAACTGACAGAATTGTGCCTCAAGTGAACAACATTCTAGGCTGTCATACACCGTGGTGCAGTATGAAATATCCTACTGCAAAATCAGAAATGCCCGATTTGATCACCACCAACAAAACCTAGAACTGCTCAAATTGTCTCATCCGATTATTAGTCCATGTCCGTGGCCACCATCTTTTACAGGGGGAAAAAGTAGAAACAGAAGGAATCAAAAATAGAAATAGACACACATCTATTCACACATCATGTCAACACACTCTAGCAATAAGCCACCATGGGCTGATGGTGGGCCAAACAACCCAGGTGTGTGCCCGACAGACGGCTATGCTTAGCATGGGTGTTAGCCCCCTCCATCCTCCTCCGTCTTTCCACAGGTATCTCTCTGTGTGTCTCGAAAGGACTCTGCTTCCCAAGGTCACCCCTATTTGCAAAAAGAGATGTATGGACAGGGGAGAGAGGAGCTATTGAGAAAAGAGAGATAAAACATCAGGCGGCAAGATTCAAGGGGAAGGCAGCAAGAAATGAAGCACAAGTGAGCAAACAAAGAAACCCAACCAAACCAGGGGGACCAGATGATGCAACAGAGATAATCAATGGTTCTGCGTCTTTATTTTAGCAAATGCCCATGGTCAGCAGGAGGCAGGAAGGCAACTGGCCTTCCAGAGATTCAGGGCACCAAGTGAATTATTCAGGACTTTCTCCTCATTAGCCATTCTTTGACACCGGGGCATCCCCGGTGGGTCCCTGTGCCTGAAACTTCTGAAAGGCATTTCCTGTTTGATCCGAGTTAGTGTATCCATCCAGTTTAACAGACACTCTTCAATAAACAGCAAAGTCATATGACTGTATTAAATAGTAAGCATGTTATGCATTCAAACAACTAAGAAGAAATCAATATACTTTAAATAATTGAATACAGAAAATTAACATTTCTTCCATTAGATCCTTTCCAAGGCAGCACTAACAATAAAAAATGTATTACAGCACAAATGATCATACTATGCATAGCCATTTAATGCATTTCAAAATTGAAGCTGATTGAAGTTCAGCATTAGGAAGAAAATAATCATGATAACAATTTTCCCTGAATATTTTATGGAAATCAGGGGCATTTACAGAACTATAAGCTCTGTATGTAAGCATGAGAGTTAATGTAATGACAAAAAATATTCAATGTAATTTACCAGATGCTGCCTCATAAAGTAAAAAAAAAAAAAATGGGGGGGAACAGCATAAGGAAAACATTGCTCATTAAATTCAGCAGATACCTAAAAGGGATAAAATGGATAAGGGGCTGTTTTCTAATCTTCCCCAAAGTAAAAGCCAAAAACAATGTGCGGGGTGGTGGGGAGAGAGAGAAATCGGCATTCTGCTAGGAATCCATTTTAAAATGACTCAAGAGAATTATAAACATGCCACAGAAAAGGAACTATTTCATGGACAAAAGGCAGCCCGTTACATTCTTTTGGGAAAAAACACGTGCATCTTGTAAAGCAGAGGAACATTAATTTACCACAAGTTTAGTATGAGAGGAAAGAAATAAAAACTGATTAGATGTAAGCAGACCATTTTAAAAATCCCTTCACCACATAACAGTGATCACAAACCACCCTACCATAGGCAGAGTTCTCACTCATAGAGGACTGACTGAACCTAAGGTGTTCAAGAGCACCCAGATTTTAAGCTGTAATAGCGAAACCCTCCAGAGGTTTATTCAGAGGCAGACTCCGCAGCGTTCCTTGGGTCTCGGGATCAGTGAGCAGAAGCAAAGGCAGTACTGCCGAAGCTGAGACCATGGCCACTGACAGTCTAAAGGGCTACTGGGCCATGGAGGAACTCCTTCTGGCAACTTCTGGGGAAGAAACATTTGAGTAGAGCAAGCTGCATTTACAGACCTGCTGCTCAGAAGCAATAAGAATGTGTGGCCCATGAAATGTCCTCTTTCCTTCTGAGAGACACCTTCAACAGAACAAACAAATGTATTTTGTCCAAACCCATCGTATATGTTCATAAAAGAAACTAATTCAACTCTGAGGCTAAAAAAAACCCTACATTTTGAAACATCTTGGAAATATGGGCCTTTTTATTTAAGCAGCATTTTAAATGTCAATACTATTGACTTTTATCTGGCCAGGGCAGCTTATTTTATATTGTGTGTGTGTGTGTGTGTGTGTGTATATATATATATGTATATATTTTAACTTATTATTATTCTTATGTCTATATTTTAATTTATGTGGTTTTACTTTATTGTTGTAAGCCGCCCCGAGGCTTCGGCGAATGGGGCGGCATAAAAATGTTTTCATAAATAAATAAAAAATAAACACCATTTCATTACAGCCCTACCAGATACTTCAGTCCAAAGCTTGCTTGCTTTGTGTCAGAAGCACCACTGTTAAAATAAGGCATATTATAAAACATATTTTACTAGGGCATATTATATATAGTCCAAAGTAATATAGGGTATTTGAATTTAAGCTCCAACACTTTGAACTGTGCTCACAGCAGCTTATGAAGGTGTTTGAAAACTGATCCAACTCATCAGCACAGAAGCCAAACGGTCAATGCCCATTTCCAAGAAGTCTTCAAAAAGACAAACTAAGGTTTCCCCTTCCAGTTTTATGGCTAGTGCTGACACATGCAGATAAGACTAAGGAGATGAGTGCTAAGCAAAGAACTGCAGGCACAGATTGCATGAAATCAAACTTAGCAGCTGCTTACTAATGTCCCATCTTGTAGTTCTTAGCGCACAGAAAGCAGAGAGATTCGGTATGCCATCCCACACTTTCACACAATTATGAGTGTGATGAACACAGTGGCCAGTTACACATTATTGTTGATGTCTGGTTTTAGTGCATATTTATTTATCTTTGCTATTTACAAAAACAGAATCTCTTGGATGAAGAATACATAAATGATTTACCTAAATAAATAAACCAGCAAACAAAAGGGATAATGGAGGTATAAATCCGCATACCTAAGGTGTATGCATGTTAATTTAAAATCTTGACTATAATTTAAGCATCAAGAAAATATATTTTGCCAGTGGGAAAGACTGTGACCAAGTGTTCCAATCAGCCTGCCTGGTCTGTTATCTGCTGAAAGGCAATTTCAAGGCTCCTGAAGTTCCTTCTTATGACTCTCTCTCTCTTCCACCCGAACTCAGACTGGACAGCACCTCAAATAAATAATGATCTTAGAGTGAGGACTGTCCACTGTAAAGTAAGGCACATGGCCACCCTAATAGTAAAATGTGATTCCCTATTCCTTTTAAGAGATGATCACCATTGGGGATGCCCAATATAAAAATTAATAATCCCCACTAGTAATTTAAGAAAATTTCTACCCTGCCTTTAAGCCCACGAAGGGCTCCCAAAGCAGCATCAAGATTCAGTACCACAAAATGTAGCAATGGCCATGAACTTGGGTGGCTACCACTGGCTACTAGTCACAATGGCCATATTTTATTTCCAGTATCAGAGACAGCATAGGGTGTCTCTTAACACCAGTTGCTGGGGAAACAGGAAGGTGGTAATTCATGTTCTCCTGAGGGTTTTCCCATAAGCATCTGTTTTGCTACTCTACAAACAGACTGCTAGAACATGTAGTCCTTTTTTCTGAATCAGAAAATTCTCCTCATGTTCTTATGTCCAGAGTAAAAAGACAAATAAAAAATGAGATGAAAAGAATATATTGTATCAATTAAATCATTTTTAATGTATTGCCTCTGCAGAAGCTTATGACAGATTAAAGCTACAACCAAGCAGAAATCTTTGTGGCCTCATCTTTTTGATGCGTACCCCATCATTCTGCCAAGAAAAATAGTAT